ATAATTGAAATGGAAAATAGCAATTTTCTATTGGTGTTATTAAATGACAACATCTATGTTTTTATAGTAGAAGCTACCTATAACGTTTATTAACTCATAATTTTTTCAGATTTTCCGGAATGACGCATAGCTAAAAAATTAAAAGTCATCATCTTTTATCTTTCCATGCCTGTAAGAGTGATTTATGATGTATTTATATAACTGATTTTTTTTGTTTTATTTTTATTAAACGGACGAATCTTAAAGTGTCTCATCTTTTATTCATTTTCGTCTCTGTTAACGTTGATCACAGAATTTACTCGCTCACCATTGAAAGCTTTGTTGAGTATTTCAGCAAAGCTTGTAATGTGTGCTATATATCCAACATGTGATAAATAGTAAATTATCGCAGCGATATGCGAGCTAAAACCCAAGAGTGTCATTACTGTTTGCACAATGCACATTCACAAAAGTGACTTTTTATTCTCTAGCAGCCATGCATTATTATTTTCCTTCAAACAACATTGCTCTATATTATTTTTTGAATCCATTACCTCTAGCAAGTATCACACTGCTTGAGATAGTCGATCGGATCCAGCAAGAAAGATTTTTAAATTGTTATTTGGAGAAAAGTAATGATATGACACTATTGACACTGTCAACACTAAAAACAGTATAAAACGTACAAGTGCTGCATAAAGCGTATACAGAAAATATGTTCGAATTTATAATTATTTACAGCACTGAACATACCAAACTCAATTGACTGCCCGAGAATAGAAAGACATTTTTGTTCCTCACGCATCGCTGCGATAATTTATTATTTATCGCATTCTATATATAAAAATCATGTCGCGTACACGATAAGGCCTGCTGAAATACTCAACAAAACTTTCAATGTTGAGCGAGTAAATCTTGCGATCAACGTTGACAACGACGAAGATTAGTAAAAGGTGAGACATTTTAATATTTGCACATTTAATAAAAATAAAATTATTTAGAATTGCATATAATATTCATATGATATGCTCTTTATATAAATTGTATAAATACAGAAATCTATACATTGTTTAATAACACTAATACAAACTTGGCATTTTTAAACATTTCTGATTTTTAAAAAATAGATTAGAAATAGCACAGGAAAAGTGTGGAAAAATTGCCAGATATGTAACGTCACGGCTATAGCATCTCAGATCTTTTTCATAGTTCCCCATATGGTAGAAGAAAAAATAAACCAAGCATAAGTTTTAAATCGTGTTTTGGTTAATAACTATACTAATAATAGGGGCTAGATGGCTAAAACTTTGCCGGAATGGTTTTCCTAAGAAGCTCTTTCGATTGACGTGTCACAAGTTTAATTTGGCTTAGCGGTACACATTTTAACATGCTTATTCCGTCATGCTCTTTAGAATACAGAGTGAACCGATAATTTCAATTATTGATTATTGGTCTTTTCAAAAGTTTGGAATTTTTAACATAAAATTTAATTACCTCTGCCAGTATTTATAATCGGTCGATAGTTACTTTTTTTTTTAATTGAAAGATTTCCAACAATTTCAGAATTATATTTAGTTAATATTTAAGTTCATCAGGTTTACGTGTCTTCCTTGTTTTACTAGTTGTAAAATAATAGGATTATTAGCCGATTTCAATGAGCTGTAGTAAAAGGTTATTAAACATTGAATATAAGAAAAAAAGAAAACAACGAAATTGTTTCGCAAAAGATACTCAAAGTGGTATATCTGTTGCAGCAATGCAACATTGCAATCGTCTGGTCGCTATATCACGTACTCTTCTTATCACTTCCGGATTGTTTCAAAGATACGTTCCAATCATTCTTTGCGTCATATCATTAACTTGATTTTTCTCTAAAGATTATTCCTCGAATTTTTTCACTTGATATCTTAATCTTGAAAAAACTCCTCTTACGCAAATACGTAATTTAATAATTACGTCGTAAAACAATCAATAACCAGAGAAATTATAATAACCTGTTACTATGTTACTATGTTAATGAATATCGATGAAGGTCGATCATACACACACACAAACACACTAAAAAATGACCACTAAAAAGAAAGGGAAAAAAAGAAGGGAAGAAAAGGAAGGGAAGATGGTGAACGTATCAACATTTTACGTATTAATTTCGTATTTTCGTATTAACTCATTTACGTATTTTTAATTCAATTTTACGTATTAACTCATAATCTTTTCAGATTTTCCGAAATGACGCATAGTTAAAAAAATTAAAAGTCATCATCTTTTATTTATTTTATCATGATTTATGTATTTATATAACTGATTTTTCTTTTATTTTTATTTTTATTAAATGAGCGAATCTTAAAATGTCTCATTCTTTATTAATCTTCAACGTAATTTTACGTCTTCTCCAATTATCAATACGGAAGTAAATGGTTCGAGGCATTTCATTGTCAAACGCAGTCCGCGAGCGATATACCGTTAACACAGAGCGGTGCATAAATCGTAGCCTGCGTGCATAACGATCAATCGTGTCGCGTGGACATTCATCAAGATGAACGGGCTCGCGTGCACGCGGCCAACCGAGACGAACGATTGACCGCAGCCCGGAACCTTGCATATCCTCCTCGAGCCTGCAGAAGACAAAAAATCTACGGATCTTAAGTTAATTGAGAGGAGGATCAAGCCGAGGCTGCATCAGTCTCGTAGAATGCGCACAAATGTAAGAATTCGTAAGAACTTGAAAATGTTAAGTGACATTCATAACGAATACCTTACGAATATTTTACGAATGAATAATAAATTATATAATAAATGTCGAAGGATCTCAAGTTCAAAGTCTTTAACTCAAAGCTTTAGAAGATATAAATGGACAAATTCTTCTTCTCTGAGGAAACTTTCTGCAGACCAAATGACTAAATTTTGAGAGATTGTAAATCAATGATATTCTTTTGGTAGTAAAACAATGTTATTAACGCTACAACTACCAATTGCGTAATAGCGAGGAGTCACGGGCTGTTTGGTTTCGTAAATACCAAAACTGTCCAGGTATCATTGGCAAAATTAACGTTGACTTTTATAACAGAAGCGAATATTTACGGCGAATTCCTTGTATTAGGTTGTCCGAAAAGTGTCTTTCTCTTATAGACACGTCTTTTACAACAACGCATCTTTATAGAAACATGAAACCAAATCAGTCAAACGTTGTGATTTTTATCTTGATAAAACAAAATGTATCGTGCGTAATTCGATAAAATAATATAAAACGGCAAATCTCGTGCATCCACTATTTCCTTATAAACCGGAAGAAACTTTTGAAAGAAAGGGCCTAATGCATAGCAACTATTACGGTAGCAATATGGTTCGTAAAGAAGGGGTTAGAACTTCTTGAAACATTTGCCCGGCCGATGGAGACCCGACTTCGCACGTTGGAGAACCGCGTTAGACCAGCGTGTTTGCCCGGTAGACAGGTGGGGATGAAGGCCACGTACTGCTTCTGCAAATGCCTCGACGATGTGCACCTAGACCTACAAAACGAGATAACTCGTGGCGATCTACCGGCGGACTCGTTGCGTCGCGCGTGCACTCGCGGTTTCGAAGCGCCGGTAGATTCCAGCTGAGTACACGAGTTGTTCCGCCACTCGTAGGTTCATTTTAAGAAGAACTTGTAACATTTTGTGTAACTTGTATATCATATATGTATAATTTTAATGATAATCTGTTTTTATATTGGACAAGTTCCTGATATCGCGGGATTAGTAGTTTCGATTAATTGTGGCGCGAAACTGTGAATGAAGTTGCCGATGGTGTGAGGAAGTTTGTGTCGTTTGTTACTTGTCTCGAGGATCGGTTCTGTAAGATGTTTCTTGATATTTTCATTATTTCTATTGATCATAGTTTTTTCTAAACATTTTTTTTTTGAACAATTAGACCTTCTAAATGAATATTTAAAATATATTTGAATGCTTGCTCCGTTTTGTATTTGTAATTATATTTATTTTTATTTGTATATTTATTTATATTTGTTACGTGATTGATATTTCAGTGTAGCGTGGCAACTTGTATTTTGTAGAAAAGTATATTCAAAATGAAAAAAAATCTCATTCGAAGATAAATGTTTAAAGTTTGCTATGTTTATACCTGGTACCATATAACGAGATAGAAATAATTAAGTACTGTAACAAAGAAATATCGAAAGTTTCTAATGAATATAGAATCCGTATAAAAAGCACTTAACAAACTTTCATATTCCAGTGAAACATATTTTAACGGTTCCTACAATGTCAGAGATTTTAGCGAAAGTTGTTACGATAAGAAACATCAGCGAAGGAATGTTAAGAATCTGCAAAGACGTTACAAAGCGAAACGCGGTCGGCTTAGGTATCCGCTAAATTGCAATCCTCTTATGTTTTATATTAGTGGAATCGATACTTACCGACGATTCCTATGTAAGGAACTCATCTTCTTTCAGAACCACGCGTAAATGTTCATTCGTGTTCGAAACTTGTATTCATCTCAGCATTTAGATCTTTGGAAATTTAAATTGTTCATTTTTATTTTCAATTTCATCAGAAATTGAATTTTAATCAAAACCCACTTAACAAATAAAAATCCCTGATCATTAAAGTTTCTTTACATTCCGTACCACTTTCTCCCAGCTTGTTCTACGTATAACCAATAAAAATTCCTAATTTTCAAAAATTCTTTACACTTCCAGTTTCATCATACTTTATATTCAATATTATCTCATTTTCTTTGTTTTCTTGTTTAATTTATTTTCCATAAAACTTCTCAATAAATACAGATTCCTGATCAGCAAAAATCCTTTATGCTCTCTGCTTCTTCCATCCAACTTCACGCCTAACGTTATTTCAGTCCAAAAAAAAAAATATATCCTCGATATAACTTTCTCAATAAAGAAAGATTCCAGCTCGCCAAAACTCCTTTATATTCCCAGCTTCCTCCATCCTAGTTCACAATATAAGATCACGCACTTGATATTATTTCAGTGTTGAAGCAATCTCATCGTATGTTTCCAGGTGGTTTCGCCGCAGGCAGCCGCGAGAGATGTGGTCACGCACGCGATTCTTGCTCCTGGCGTGGATGATCTCGTTGCTGGCTGGCGTACGGCTCAGCAACGGGTCGCAGAGGCCGCGTCTCGGCGGCGCCGTCAACATCTTCAGCCGTTACGGTTACCTCAGCATCAGCATGAGAGTGGTCCCCAGAAACGACACCGATACTTGGATCTTCCGAGAACCGACCCTAGATGTTTTCAGGAATCCAACCCCCATAACGACCAAACAACGCCAACAGGCAGCGGTGTTCGATGGAGACTTTCATATGGAGTTCTGCGATAATGTTCGTCAACTTCTGCAAGCTTACTTCCGGGACTTCACGTTTGAACGACTGGAAAGGCCATGGCGAGCGTTTAGCGCCAGCTGGTCCAAGGCGGCCATTGCTCGTCATTTGGGCATCAACTCGTCGTTCATCACCGGTGAACATTGTTACGTGCTGGTACGCGTTGCCAGGTTCCGTGAGAATCAGAAATTGGCTGTTACAGCAGACTCGATGATTCTGGACGAGGCTGTTCTCCGGGAAACAGAAAACGTCACTGTTGGAGATACTGCCAGCGTGGTTCGGTTCATCAAGCACTTCGGATCGCACTATATTGCTGCTTATGTCACTGGCAATTCCTTGTATCAGGTAAAGATGTTTGTGTTCATTGTTTTAGCGTATAGTTATTATTATTAAACTGTTTTGTTATTAAACCGTAAAACGTAGAAACTCTAAATCATAGAACTTAGAACATTCTAGGTAATAATTAGATCCTTGATCATCGATCATTTCATCTTACCAAACGTTCCTCCGTTCTTCTGGGAAAAATTACCACAGACGATCCTTGGCGTGTAACAACAAATACTTTAGCCTTGGTACATCTCTTCTTGACTACTTGCGCAAGATCAATGATTTATGGGTGCATAAAATTTATTGCTTCAAGCTTTACTTCCGAGAATCAATTTGAATCTCTAGCTAACACCATCGAACCATCTCCACTCACGTCGCGTTACAAAACGTTACCAAAGAAATCCTGCTTCAGTGGTTATTTGCTCCTCCCACGCAATCAAAATTATAGTCTGAAGAAACAGACGTGTGTACCCTTTTATCTGCCTCTTACCAATGTATAAACCTTAAAGACCAGTTTCAAGGTTTACGAATAGGATGACGACACCAAATAATCTGATAAACACTCGGAATAAGTATTAGAAACAAGAACAGGATATGTAAAAATAAGTGGCCATCGTTAATTCGTTGATTATCTAGATAATTACAAACGTAAACGCTACGTGTCTTATACAGGATATGGTGTGAGGAAGCAGAAGGCTAGTGATGCTTCAGGGAAAAATAAATTAGAAGATGGCAATAAAATTTGTTCGTCAACGACTTAACTTTCTTTTCTGTAATATTTTAATAAAAGTTTTTAAGTTGCACTGTAAAAAATATTGATAATCTGAAAAGTCTGCAATTATATACAAGTACTTTCTCTATGTAGATTTACCTTTTTCACCTTTCCTTGATTCCTTGATACCTTGTGCTAAATTATATGTACCTACCTTAAAATTTTAAAAGTATTTTTATTCCTTCTAGGTGTTCGTGTATACTCAACAAGCATATCTACGTATCAAAGAGCGGCTAAAGACTCGTGGTGTAGCAGATTTATCGAATATCGAGTTGAGCAATTATTTTTCGCCGTGGTACGCGGAGCACATGGGCTCGATACAAGCAGCGAGCGGAAACCGCACCGTCGAGGCTTGGGCGGTAGAACGGCTTCGAAACCAATACTACATTTTCTCGTATGCCAGCTTGCTGAAATTACACGGTGATGCGATGTTGCTAAAGCAATTGGACGGTTTGTTGGAGAACGAAGCGTTGCTACAGCTTCAACTGAAGACGCTCGCGCCGATCTTCAAAGATCCTCAACGACGTGAGTGGTTCCTCGAGGTGATCGACAATTACTTTAAGTTATGGGAGGTGAACATGTGAAGTAGAACGAGACATGTCCCGAAAGGAGAACATTGATACACCTCCGTTTTACTTACGTAAAATTACGTATCGGTATGATCTGTACGTGGAAGACCACGCGTTTACGCGTACGTATTTAATTTAGAAGACGTCGGCCGATGACTTCGACGTGAAACGATCATTCGTCGTTGTGAAACGATTCCTAGTGCTCGAAGAGTCGTTAGTCACGGTCCGCTGGAAGTTCACTATTGTTTCTCCGTCAAACGGATGCTAGGTTTTCATAGAGAAACGCCCAACTACTATATTATTATTAAATAAGTATTTATTATATTATAATCGATAATAGAAAACATTTTTATACAAACGTTTTAAATATATATGTACATCACAAGCAATTTTCGTAAAAGTGACTGAAAAATGCGCGACGTTCTGCTTCCATGTTTGTCGTTTCGCTTTTGATACCGGTTTAATAAATTTATGTTGCATTCCCGTTTAAGCTCTTCAAGGGCGTAGCGACAAACGCAGAAACAGAACTCGTGACCTTTTTTCTTCTTTCTCGCGTTGATTTTCTTCTCGAGCGTGTTCGAACTTTCATAAATCGATGTTTTTAAAAATAAATCTACGCATTGTGTATTTTATAATACGTTCTATCCTTACGAACTTATGGACGTTACCGTTTCTTTTTTTTTTAATCGAAATGAATCGATATGAGTATTCAAGTATAAAAGAATGATTAGTTTGTATGTTTCGTACAAACAAGCAAAAGTTATTTTATTGGCACGATGGAACGACTGATGAATAGAACTTATAGAAAAAGTCAGTTTATTTGATCTTGTTAAGCATTAAATGTTATTATATCTTATTTTTATGCTTGCTTATCTTTTGTCTTTCCTCTTAAAGAACTACAACAATAAACGTAAATAATTCATTAAAAAATTCCAGAACGTTTAAATGTTTTTTAAAAGAAAATTATTTGATTAAAGATTAAAACTACACCTAGGTGTATTGTGAAAATTAATATTTTTATACTAAATTCGATTATATATTCTATATTCTGGAACTGACTTTTGAGCTGACGAAAGAAACTTGAAGAATGCGTACTCACCTGTTCTTATAAAATTTTGTAGATACACTATATGTAAAAGTTTCTATTGCTTATTAAATCGCATCCAGGAGTGCGATTAAAATTCTACAAGATACAATCATTTAAATGAACTGCGTTTTATTATGTATATACAAAATTTTATATAAATCGATGAATTCGGATTCTTCAAGCTTCTCTGCGAATTAACATATTACAAACAAAATATAACGATACTTATGAACGAAGTTCTGTGTAAAAAGACAGGTTTCTTTTTTAAATTTCATCGTTTCTAACTCGCATGACATTCTTCTAAGGAAATGCGCAACAATTGTAAGTGGATTGACCTATCTCCAGAAATATTGACTGTGGTAAGATTATTCAATTCTATTCATATACTATATTAATACTTAGATTCAAAATTCGAATATCACAATGTCTATTAACAGTGATATTGATTTAAAGTCGAGATAAAAGGAAATCTCATCACTAGCTACGTTTCGCTATAAATTCGTGAACGAACATTTGTGCATTAAGTTCAATCGGTCTTTTTAAAAGTGTGCAATTTTGCAGATGCTTGTTGCTCTCTACCTAATTTTCTTCCATTAACAACCAATATAACTGGAGTTTCGACGCGTATAGATTTGAAGTCAAAATCCTGAAAAAGTATATAGTTGTATAACCGTTAATTTTAAAAGAAGCATATATATCAGTACAATAATACTAACGTTATTGAGATAAGAAAACTTATGATGAATCACACATGGTTCAGGTATAGCAACAGAATCTCCTACGGTTACTCCACGACCTTTAGCAAGATTGTATACTGTTACAGCAATACACATTTTTTCTTCGTCCACAAGACAAAACGCGCTAAAATATTGGATACGTACTTGTTAATCATGATCATAAATTACAATCCTTGTTTTGTTGTAATTAAAGTAAGGAAACTGAAAAACAGACTTACAAAGGTACACAATCGGTGTCTTGTATCCAACATACTACTTTCCCAAATATAACTTTTTCTGGATTTAACCCGAGGACTAGGTCTTTAAGTAATACTAAATCTAATTTTACAGTCTTTTGGCCAGATGTGAAAGAGCCACCTTTGTATGGTCCCAAATGTTTAACATCCAATGCCTACATTTAATCAGAAACCTATAAATATGTATAGGTACCAGCATCATGTATTAAGTTTATAGAATCTTATAAAATGAAACACATCTTGAAATTACATTGTCATTATAAAAACAAATATATTATTTAAAAAATTTAGATACCCTTATCATTTGGTACAATCTTTTTGGTTTTACTCTTCCATTATTATTTACTGAATTTTGTACATCTTTTAAATATTGTAACAATTCATCTCTTTTGTTATGAGGTGTTTCCCATACTGGATCTAGTAGTATTGCCCTCTCAAAAGATTTTAATGCTAAACTATATTCTTCTTGATACTTTAAGGCCTATTGTTGTAATTTATTTACATGAATACCAGAAATTAAAGTTCATTGATATTGTATCGGAGATAATAAAATGCTTACCACTGCCTTATTGTGAAATAAATCAGGATTACTTCCTGCTACAATATCTTTTTCCTAAAAACAATTTCAATATGTTTATTGCTAGCCAACGATGAAAGTTTAAAATTGTCATAATCTAACTTACTGCTTGTGTATAAGCTGACATGCAAAGTCGTAAAGTTGCAGGATTTTGTGCTATTGTAAAAAAGGAAGACAAATAAGCATTTCCTAAGATTGCCCAAGAAATACCATCTGATGTATCAAGACTGACTGCTTCCTTAGCATATTCCACTCCCTTCTGTATATTTTGTATTCGTTGTTCAGTATTAGGGACTGGTTCTTGTCTGAGTACCATCGATAAATTTCTTAAGGATACTTTATTCCTACCCTACAATATTTATTATTGCATTTCAATTATACATTATACAATTATACATTACACAATTATAAAGCAGGAAGATGGTAATGGATAAGAATAAGAAAAGAAATTTTACATGGCGTAGAGCTCCAACAAAACAATTTTTTGCTTGCTGAATATCATCGTTTTTCCAATAACATTCTCCTAATTCATTCCATGCTTCTACTAAGTTAGGTTCTAATTTTACTGCTTTTGTTAATAACTCTTCTGCTTGTGGTATAAAACGTTCTGTAACATTTAAAGCTTTTCCTTTTAGGTAATAATATTTTGCTCGTGATCCATCAATTTCATATCCTTTACATTCATCGAGTTTACTTAAAGTATCTTTCATTTCTTTTTCTACATCACCATTCTTTTTAATGGCTTCTTCGATAGAATGATTTTCAAAATAGTGATCTCGAAAAAAATATAATGCATTTACTTTTTCCTAAAATAAATACATAAATAAGCGTCACAGAAATTAAACGTAAATTTAACGATGAAATCATATCTTTCTATAAATATTAAAGCTCGTTTGCTAAATTACAAGGAAACGGAGGAAAAAAGGTTATTTTCTGCACATCAATAAAGGAAAAAATATAACTAAATCAATTAATTGTTTAAGTTCTGTTATTAAAACGGTGTGTATACCGTCAATGCTACAATGGGGTCTTCTTTAACAATGTTTGCGGATTTCGCTCCTGCAACCACTTTATCATCTATAATTGCGGACATTTTTTAAAATACTTTCATAAACTGCTTATCACAGTAATTTCATTGTGCGTCAGATACACACTGAGTTTCTACTTTTATACATAATTTACAATGTTATACATGCGAACTAACGCTGCAACAGTAGAATACAATCTATCATTCGGAAACTGTCAAAATTTTAACGCTCGCAATACAACGGAAGAGGTTATATCGTAACATTAATGCAAACTAGTGTAAAGTACTATCCACAATAAAATTAAAATGATTCATTATCGATTGATTTATTCTCAACAGATGGAATCACAATTACTAAAACCTCAGTTCTGCAATATTACAACAATATCAGTACGATGAAAATAATACGTAAAAATAGTTTTCAATTTATGATTTTTCACATGTTTTTCACAAGTCTCGTTCACATGGTTCTCCTAAATTTAATTTTATAGATGTAGTATAGGTATACATCGAGAGTGGCGCTACTGGCGCTTCTCCCACTGCCACCTGTCACGAACGTCCAACGAGTGTGACTAGTGCAATCGCGTACTCTGTGACCGAAGCTTCCCCAGAAGGCTGCATCGTCTCAGGATCGCCATTTTATGTGTTTGGCTCTGAGACTGGGACGGTGGGTGCGTGCGGTGCAAACTACAGAGCGTATTATCCGTGTATTATCCGCAAGATGTTACCTAAATACTTTTCGCCCGACATGTACAAGTAACGACAGGTGTCGGAGTGTGTGATCGGGCAGCGGAAGGCTCGGGCCGAAATGGTCCCGGAATAGTGAGCTGTGCGTGAGTGTGTTTTCATCGAGTAAGTGCGTCGCACACTGGCTTTTCATCGCTGTCATCAGTTTGTTGAATACCTGTGCCATTCGGAAAGTCACCTTTGGGTCAAATTACGGACGGCCTCTGGATTTCCTGCGACCACCCTTCGCCACCATCTACGATGAGTTCGCGCAACATACCCTCAGACAAGGTGAGTCTCTTGTCACTTGCTCTAATATGTCTACCGCACCCTTCCGCCTCCTCTTTCTCCTTTATCCTTCGCATCCAACGCAATCTCCAGTTACCGTTCGATAACCATCGTACAGCTACGTTTTACTTAGTCGTACTTTTATTCACTAAGTCACGGCCATTCGACCATCAATGCGTAAAATTATAGCTGGATCAATGAGATGCCACTTCGCGCCTATCGGCCGCCTTTTTCCTCGATTAAATAACGGATATACAATATACACTGTACACCCTCGCACTAGCGATATACGTATCTCTTTTGTTTTTTTATTATACTTTATCTGTTTCCTCTAACTTGTTTTACTAGGAGCTATGTATTTCGTTGAAAACTTAGAACTAAGATTTAGGCATGTTCGACTAAATGTCGAAAGTAAATCCCGCGCGGTAATTATTCCTATTAAAGAAATCGGAGTGAAAGGTGTTAGGAAGAGATACCACATACTGAAAAGGACGTAAGATCTTTCTCCGCATATTGTACAAAATATTGTATACGTAAATCTTTAATAATTTATCTTTAAACATTTATCATATATATATAAATGTACGAGATTACTGAAAAAATTATGAATCTGTCAATTTGACTACCGTAGTAGGGATTCCAATGTTGAAACAGTTGAAACATCGTAGATCGATCGTTGATCGATAGTACGTACTTCGCGTTATAGGTATTTAAATGTATTTATTAACTTTATTCCCCTCGTATGGTCGTTCCATCGACTATTATCATAAACTTCCACCGGCGGCTAATTAATCAACAAAGGATTGTCTTTGATTGCAATCCTCGTCGTTGCAACGAGTTTCGCCGGTTTTCTTTCTTCTCGCGTCAAGAGCTCACGCTGCCGAGCCGTTCCATCCCGCCATCCCCCCACCCCTCCGTCCTCTTCCACAGCAATGTAAATTAATCGTGTCGTGAAAGTCGTGAACGTTCTCCACGCTTTGTGAATTATACACCTACCATCGCCTACCATCATCGGCGCGGCCATTCGTCGCGTTTTTTTACAAAGTTGTCGCGTTACTCGTACCAAGTGCACTCGTAGTCGGTCCAACGAGACTGTTTAATTGGCACCAATCGCATCACAGGGACGGCTAGAGCACTTGATGCGTCGCATACGCTGTCTATATCGAAAACGTAGTTTGAAGTCGATTCTAGAGATTTTTATATTTTTTGTTTCTAGGGAAAATTGAACAGCGAGAAGTAATACACGTATGTAGTGGCCAGTCCTTTCTTTTTCATAGGTTACACGATTGAAGTAATATTGTACGTAAATATTTCGGAAGCTGATAGTTGATTTATTTAGTAACGTTGTTCTACTCAGTTTTTCTTTGTGTATGTATCTTTTGAGATGTTTTCTTCTCTTTTCGACATACTTTATTTATGAAAAACGCGGAACACAAAAGATGGCAAAATAATGTTTATTGAAGCTATCGAAGCTATTATGAAAGATTTTAGGAAATTAGCGTTAATGTTAACATTTCTTGAGAATGCGATATTTCAGAAGAGATTTTTGTTTCTGATACAATCTTCTCAAATTTCAATATCTCTCGAAAGCCTTTTGTTAAATGAAGAAATGCAGAATTATTCTCTAATAAGGACACGAATCGTCTGAACATGATGATAATTATCTTACGCAAAATCAGAACGTAGATTCGTACGTAAATATAACCGTTCGCGCGAGCTCTAAATTTCCAAGATAAAAAATGAATATTTCCTTCAGAAAATTATAGAAATAACGGTAATTACTATCCAAAAAGTGTGCTTTTTCTTATTAAATAGCTTTATGCAATAGTTTAACGTTTACCAGAAAGTAAATAATAAAAGAAACTTAAAATATTACTCTTTCCTCTTAATAAATTGTTATTTATGCCTGTCGGAGTAACAAATTACAGTAATTAAACGAGACTTAGCTAGAAAACTAATTTTACCCGACTTTCGAATGCAAATATCGCGGCTTGCATAAATCGGTGTCCTTCCGTCTAATATCGATTCGTGTTCTTTCGCTTTTGTTTGGCGTTTCGAATCAAGACTCTCGATATTACTAAATGAAGGCTTGTGGCAAGGAAACAGGGCGCATGCGACCACGGGCTACTAAAGAATAGATCGACACACACGGCCTATTCCGCTAAAAATAGCGCGCATCCAAAATTCAGTAGCATCGATGGTGTGTAAAATAGATGCAAATATTTGCGTGGCCCCCTTTTCCACCGAATTATGCACGCCATTCCCGGCTATTTTCGTGTCCCACCATAACCATCCCCTTGTTTGTGATTAATCGCCGATGCGGTGTACACTTGGTCGTGCTCGACATGGTTTCGCGCGGTTTCGTGTTCAGAGGTGGAAAGAAACGCATTATCCGGTTGCACCTAACGGTGTAGATTATATTTCCTATGTGTGTATTGTCGAAAGACTGTCGCGATGACCGTTTCGTATCAGAGAGAGAGAGAAAGAGAGAGAAAGATCGTATTTGAAATTATTGGATTGGCAACTAAATGATTGCGGATTTTGTCTATACCACGCATTGACAAAATCCGCAATCATTTAGTTGCCAACTCAATAACTTCAAATACCATCTCTCTCTCTCTCTCTCTCTCTCTCTCTGAGAGAGATGGTATTTGAAGTTATTGAGTTGGCAACTAAATGATTGCGGATTTTGTCAATGCGTGGTATAGACAAAATCCGCAATCATTTAGTTGCCAATCCAATAATTTCAAATACGATCTTTCTCTCTCTTTCTCTCTCTCTCTGATACGAAACGGTCATCGCGACAGTCTTTCGACAATACACACATAGGAAATATAATCTACAACTACATCAATGCGTAGTATTGACAAAATCAGCAATCATTTAGTTGCCAACCCAATAGACAAATTTCTCGATATAATTTGTCTATACAGGGTGGTTGGTAATTGGTAGTACAAGCGGAAAAGGGGTGATTCTACGCGAAAAAAGAAGTCGAAAATATAGAATAAAAATTTTTTTTTAATTTTTTTTTAATTTTTCCATCGAGACAACGATCTACAGTGAGATCCGTTATAACGAGACGTGATAAAGTGCACGCGTACCGAGCGAAAATTCAAAGTCGATTTTCTCGAAAACGAAGCCTCAAACGAAAGATTGTTATTCTATATTTTCGACTTCTTTTTTCGCGTAGAATCACCCCTTTTTCTATATTTTCGAATTTTTATTCTATATTTTCGACTTCTTTTTTCGCGTAGAACCACCCCCTTTCCGCTTGTACCATCAGTTACCAACCACCCTGTATATCATCGGGAAGATATTTAGAAGATACAGTTAGTCGTGAGAGTATCTATTCGACTATTTGAGCTATTTTGTAATAAATTATGATTTGACAATGCGTATATCATTACTTTTCGATTATTAGACTAGGTTACAGCGTTGCAAATGGTTGTGTTAAAGTCAAGTGTGTATAATACAAATCGATCGTCCGTACTTTCCGTAGCCGGTACTTAAAATAGACAAGAATTCCGGTAATTTATTCTGGTCTCGGTTCACGATAATTGCAGAAAAATGAAATGGCAGGCTGTTCCGCTAGGCTGACGGCGAGTTTTCAATTAAGAAATGTTTTCCGCGGAGAATTGCGGGTCGTAGAAGCTTAGTTTCGTTACAATTAATCGTGTAAATTGGAATTCATGGCGAGCCACCATTCCAGCCCTGGATACCACCAGGACAAGCAACGCGACTCCTTTCACCCGCTATCCCGCCAAAGATACTCCGTCACTTAATTATTTCACCCTGTGGCCGACGCTTTCATGAGAAAACATTAAAATCTTCGCTTTCGGTCCGATATTCGTCAGTTTCAATGATATATCAAGATTAGGTTTCTCTTGCGAAATTATTCACGAATTAATAATATTAGCGAATTGACGAGGTATACGTAAGTTGTGGGTTATGGAATTTTTTTTTTTTTTTTATTATTCCAACTCTTAGAAGCATCGTCCCTTAAGTTTTATAATTAATTAACTCATAAGCTGATTCTTGAATATATTTTGGAATTTTTTAAATATATTTCTAATATATTTCACGATGTGTTTTGTAATATAATAAATTTCTTCTAATAATAAACGTACAACATCGTCTCGTGAAAAGTAGCGATGGATGATTGACTGACTATAATTCCCGATCCTTCATTCGTTAAAGTTATTTGTCGTATGCGTGGAATTTATTAAGTTTGTATCGGGCCTTGTGAAATATGTAAAGGCATGTACATATGTCATAGTTTTATTTAAAACTCGACTCTCGACGGCAAATGTTATTCTGGTGCTGTTTACAACAGCTACCACGTAATATTTACGTTTTCGAATAGCATACAGCAATACAAGCATCCGATAGATTGATTCATTGTATAGGGTCAGCTTTATTTTTTCGTCACCTTTGCAATGTTTATTTTGTGGATTGATATTCGGAAGTTATGTTTACACATGTATTATTCCTACGTCCTTATACTCCAGTTTATCTTCGACGTATCATTTTTGTTACGGTCCTTTTGTTATTTCGGATCCAGTGGTTCTTTCATCGCCCCAAAAAGCTTTACAAATTTTAAAAGATGTAAGCCATCCTTCTGTTACCTTCGTTCTTCTTGAGAAGCTTTTCGTTAAAGACAAAAAGATAAAAAATGTAAATTTCCAACGAAACATTGAGAGGCAATTAGTTTTCGAAGTATTTTTCGCAAGATCGAAGCAGCTTTTAAAAATGGAAAACTAATCGATTTCGAAACAGCTGTGCATTATATGACCAAAAAAAAAAAATTGATTCAGGTTTGAATTTGTATTAAATTTTCATATTTATGGGGAAAAAGAAACGCGAAAGTATTTCGATTCAAAGGACGAGAGCAAATTCACCTTCGAAAACTGCGCTAATCGATAGATTGCGAATTTTCATGCATTTACGAGAAGATCGAGGATGCAAAAATATACAGGAAATTCACGCGATATGCAAAAATATAT